TCTTCTCCGCGGGGGAGGGGGCCCCCCCCCCCCCCTTCCCAGGGGATGAATTATGTATGGAACAGTAAACTGCGCAGATCAAGGCTCTGCAGTGCGTTTAGTCGGGTGCCATTGCCTGGAGGGAAGGAGGCTTTGTGTATTCAGTGCGACCTTTCAGTTAATAGAAAACCATCCTCTGCTGTAGGTGTATCTGTGCTTGCTTTCCACGCACTACCTCATCTGTTTTCCTGCGCAGCAAACACTTCACCATTTCCATTCTGAAGGGATGAGAGAGGGAGAGGTGAATTTACATTGTACCTGGCAGACACTCCTTGTTATTACGGAACTAAGTCCTTTCTCCCAGAGAAATCATAGAGGATCCCCATTTGGTCATTCATTGTACTTGGCAATATACATTTTTCTCTGTATATTTCTGTGATTCCATTATAATTCGTCAGGTTTCGCTGGAAAATAAAGGAAGCGCATTTCCCTGCATGCGCAACTCCCCCTCCGAGCTTGCCAAGCTGCACTGAGACTGTTTTGCAATATCCCCTCCTGGAAATACTCCCTCAAGGCTCCTGCTTTAGAGGGAAGCAATATGAATGGAAGAAGCTGCTTAAAGGAGAAGTATTGGGAGAGTAAAATGTACTCTTTGCAATAGTGGGAGCCCATGTGTGACAATGCAGGTGTCGCACGTCGGCTCTGTAGCTCAAGAACTAAGCAATCACAAAACGCTGATTGCTCAGCTCACGGCTTCTCCCTGCAGAGAACGGCTTCTTCCCGCAGGGAATCCCCCCTCCAGTCTCTGTTGTTCCATCGCTCGTTGCAGGGACAGGGAAGAGGAGTTCCTCTAGGAGGGGCCTCACACCCCCTCCCCCCCTTGTTTTTTTTAAATTTTCGCTTTCCATGTTCAAGGGGTTATTCTGAAATTAAAAACTCGCACATCCACCGCATCTAGCATTCACCTGCTGCGATCTGCCATCACACTTCATGTCCCACATCGCCATCATCTTTACTTGCTCATCAGGAGGCAGGCTGCCTCTTCTGGGTCCCTGCCATTGGCCCCCCATGACGCACATGTGGCACGGCATGTCGGGACTGGCTGCAATAGCCAGGAAGGGACAGCTAACCCCCCTGTTGACATACAGCAATCCATGCATGTAATCAGGGGTCCATCTGCAAGAACCCGAGAGAGGCTGTAGGCCCCTGTTGACATACAGTGATGTATGTAATCAGGGGTCCATCTGCAAGAACCCGAGAGAGGCTGTAGGCCCCTGTTGACATACAGTGATGTATGTAATCAGGGGTCCATCTGCAAGAACCCGAGAGAGGCTGTAGGCCCCTGTTGACATACAGTGATGTATGTAATCAGGGGTCCATCTGCAAGAACCCGAGAGAGGCTGTAGGCCCCTGTTGACATACAGTGATGTATGTAATCAGGGGTCCATCTGCAAGAACCTGAAAGAGACTGCCGCCCCTGTTGACGTACAGTGATGTATGTAATCAGGGGTCCATCTGCAAGAACCTGAAAGAGACTGCCGGCCCATGTTGACGTACAGTGATCCCAGAATGCTAAGGGTGAGCAAAAAAATGTAAGTGGGGGGGGGGTTGGCGGGTGTCGGTGTAGTGCAATGAGATTAAATTAATTGTACTATGTTCTTGTCCTTTCTGCATTGATGGAATTGTCCAGAATTCTATTTGTGTTGTCGTTAGTCTGTGCCGTCTGGGGTTGTTTGTTCCCGGGACGTATATTTCATTTATGATTCCTCACATGTCTGTGTTGATCAGTTTTGCCGGACGAATCTCCCCGGGCCTCTGTACTGCGTACGTGTGACATTGGCTGGGGGCACATCATCTGAATGAGTCCTGACAGATATTGCATGCGGTATACGGTGGAAAGGCCTTGCTGCAGGGCAGATTTATTTATATATACTCTGAATCCCAGTATGTGCCAGTCTCTTCCATTGATGTGCACAGAAGCTTACAGAGAACCAGCCAGGACTGGACCGATGCTGGAATCTGAATATTCACTCTTTATTATAAATCTCACTAAAATGCCAAGTAGTGTTATCGGCGCTGCCTGAATACTCCCCAGCTGGACTACAGAACACCCCCACCTTATATCTGTAAAAAAAAAAAAAATCAAGGCAACTAGGCTTGCTGTCTTGAAGACATTTTGCTGGTCATCCGACTAGCTCTCTCAATTTAGGCTCAATTCTTAATTGAGAAAGCTGGTCGGATGACCTGCAAAACCTCTTCAAGAAAAATACAGCAAGTCCAGTGGCATTGATTTACTCTTTACAAATATACCATGACGCGGATGAGTGGGAACCTTCACAGACACCCCTCCCTTACGTTCTAGAGCTAATGAGGGGGTGTTATGTAGTCCAGGAGCTGAGAATTCAGTGAGGCTGACAACACTGCTTGGGATTTCAGTGCAGCACAGGCACAGTTGTCAGCTCATGAAGTTGGGAGCTCAGTCACACCGAAGTCATGTAGATAATATAAATTCATAGATTGGCTCCTATACCTTTCCTGTACTGAAGATGACACCTAGCAGTTGTGTTGAATGGCAGAGCTGTGCATGAAAGATACAGAGGGCATAGGGATCACCCCCCTGTGCTTGCTCATGTGACAAGCTACCCGTGCTACCCAACACATTTTTGTGCTCCTAATTGGACGGCTCGGGCTGGGTACCGGACGAAGGCCGCATTCTCGCTGGAGAGGCCCCGGGGGATGACAGGCTACACATACTAAGGTAAGGTAACCTTACCTCACGAGGCCAGCTTCCGTTCAATCGCGAAACCAGGCAGCGTGTAATGACGCGCTGCCCGGATACCGGAAGTACTCGTGCTAGGCATCGGAGCATTTGGGCGAGTACGAGTACTTGCCCAAATACTCGGAATCGGCACCGATATCGATACTAGTATCGGTATCAGTGCATCCCTAGTCCCTATCTCACATACATATAGACAGAAGCCAATTACCCTTCCAGCATGTCTTTGGAGTGGGGGGAGGAAAGCGATACAAGCACAGGGAGAACATGCAAAGTCCATGCAGATAATATCCTGACCAGGATACTAACTAGGGTCCCCAGTGCTGCAAGGCAGAAGTTCTAACCAGTAAGCCACTGTGCTGCTGTTCCTGTTGTATGACGAGGAACACCACCTGCTTGCACCCTGCGGTCCAGCTGCTGTGGGTTGTTTTAAACACATTTATCTTCCGTGTCATGCTCGCTTTATGGGAATTATTTCAGGGCCTGGCTTGGAACTTTAAGGATCACAGGGCAGTGGTGAGTTTCGGCTTATTGCACGCCCCCCCTCCCCGTTCTGTGTTGTTATTGCTCCATCTGGCTTTGTCCTCGTCTCAGGGTTAATGTGATCAGCTGTGCAAGCGCCTAATCCATCAATGGGTATTATATTTCAGGATCTGCACTCGGTACAACTCCCCATGTGACTGACCAATCTGATCATTAAATGAGTGTCATTGGATATCTGGAGCTCCGTGCCGGTGTATTGCTGGAAGCGTGGATGGTTTGTGACTTCAAAGATAAAAAGGCAGCAAATGTCCGCAACCAAACAGGAACACATTTTTATGGCGATTTCTTCATGGTGGTAAAGCGGCAATCAGTTTGCAGCCCTGGGGCACCGAGCAAGTCACTGAATACTAATGCCGTCCAGGAATCCTGATACTTCTATCTAGGAAACTCGGAAATTCCACTTTATATACCGTAAAGAGAACCTGTCACCAACTGGCACCTGAAATAATGGAACACACGCTCATGTCTGTGTGTGGTGTATATTGTGTGTAGTGTATAGTGTCTGTCTGTGTGTGGTGTATATTGTGTGTCTGTCGGTGTGTGTTGTGTACTGTGTATCTAGTTTGCCCGGCACTCTGATTTGAGTGGAAGCATTCTCGGCATACATCATCCTCTCGTTTTGTTTATGAAAGGTATTTTCACAGTGACTTGTCATTGGCGGATTTTCTCGTCTTGCGGTGGGAATACAATCTCCGCTCTTTCATTATCCGGAGCGCAATCTATTCCGTGTAACCTGCTTTTCAAGGATATTAATAGCCGCATTGGCTCAGAACAAAGCCTGTCTGTGTCGGCGGCGAGGAGCGGCCCAGTTATCGCACACAATGATGTTTTGGGGGATTTCAGTTTGTTCAAGGTCACATTTCGAGTCCCTGAGCCGGCGTGGATGTGCGATATCCGCGGATCATTCTGGTGTCTGCGGATAACGAGCTGCCTTCTTCACATAGAGCCGGGCTGCGGATGTCTGAGAGAGACTCCGAGTGCTGAAGGATGAGGGGAGCAATGAATTTGAAAAGATTTCCTTTTATTGCTCATCCACCTGACCCAAGCTATCGGTACACTCGGTTCCACATAGAGCCTAAGGGATGCTTATTAGGGCCCTATCAGCCCTACATTGCTTGCAGTTTTAACACACTTGGGTTGATGTTCTAAAAGAGTAGAGCGTGTTCCCTTTGCAAAGTCAATTTTTACTTTGCATAGTATATGAGGTGAAGGTCAGCAAAAGTTTACTTTGCAAAGAATAACCAATCCAGAGCGGATTTTTTTAAAAAAAAACATGTTTTATTACTCCAGAGTTGCCCACCCCTGCACTAGAGTCTCTCTTGGTCCTTTGTAATACACTATATTGCCAAAAGTATTGGGACACCCCTCCAAATCATTGAATATTGAATTCAGGTGCTCCAATCACCTCCATGGCCGCCGGTGTATAGAATGAAGCACCTCGGCATGCAGACGCTTCTACAAACATTTGTGAAGGAATGGGTCTGGGGGGTGGGAACGTGACTGGCCTGCACAGAGTCCTGACCTCAACCCGATAGAACAACTTTGGGAT